TTCTGCAGAAGCGCATCGTACGAAATGTTTGCAATGAGGCTGTCTGGGAAAACCTGTATCAACATCATTTTATTTTCGACTTTAAAAAGTCAGTGTTCTGTTGAGTGATCAGCCCTATAAAGAGTAAATTGCGGTTTTGCCAAATTTACTCTATCAAATTCTTCCATTCCACCTGCATCTTTTCCCTCTTTCGTTTTTCAGAATATTTCTCCCATGTTAGAAAAGCCTTCTATTAAAGTATACATAGTATAATCGTGACTGGAGAAATATATAATAGAGGAAGAGAGGACAGCTTGAACAAGAAAAGAAAGAAAGAATGTCATTGCTACTCAAACATATGTTGCGGACAAATCTCAAATTAGGTGAAATTTTAAATTCAGAGTTAGACCAGAGTTTATTCGGCTAAAATGTAAATTTAAAATGCTGTATTAAATGGATGCTGTCATGATGATCCATGAAAAATGAATATTTTCTTATACAATTATTCCCTTGACGTTAGTTAGGGTAGAAAATGTTTACATGTCCATCCACACGGACAAATCAAGAACCTAATAACTCTTCAGAGATACGGTGTAGATGGCTGAAAGTTATGAACTGTGAATAATCCAATCCGGCAAATCTAATAGTGCATTAGGACCGTCTCCAGGAGATCTCGAGAAGGTTTTTGAAAAATATTTGTTTTTCTGCCGATTTTTAGCTACACTCGAATCAATATAAAGGATAAGCATGATATCCGATCTGCAGAGGGTTTTCAGAGAACTCTGGTTCTTTTTTTATTTTTGTTACGATTTGAAGAAAATAAATGGTAGCATGCTCAGGTTGTCAGAATTGTGAATAAATCTTCCCAGTTTCTGGCGGTTTCAGAGTCTTTCTCAGAGGTTTTTATCATTTTGTAGAAACGGCAGGGGCAAACTGGTATATAGTAGAAAGAATACAGTGAGAGTCTGTGTGAAAAGATGACTAAGTGTAGGAAGGAAATGTGATAAAAACCTCTGAGAAAGACTCTGAAACCGACAGAAACTGGGAAGATTTATTCACAACTCTGACGACCTGAGCATGCTACCATTTATTTTCTTTAAATCGTAACAAAAAGACGCTCCTATTGCACCATTAGATTTGCCGGATTGGATTATTCACAGTTCATAACTTTCAGCCATCTACACCGTATCTCTGAAGAGTTATTAGGTTCTTGATTTGTCCGTGTGGATGGATATGTAAACATTTTCTACCCTAACTAACGTCAAAGGAATAATTGTATAAGAAAATATTCATTTTTCATGGATCATCATCACAGCATCCATTTAATACAGCATTTTAAATTTACATTTTAACCGAATAAACTTTGGTCTAACTTTAAATTTGATTATCACGTTTGTTGTTGGATCTGATGTAGGTAGATTAATTGTTATTGGTTTGGATGTAGATAAATTTTCTGGACTTGAAGTCTTAATCGGCTGGCTTGGGGTTGAGACTGTTTCAAGTGATTGTGTGGACATTTATATTTGAGATATAGAAGATAGTGGTTTAATCCTTGTACTCCTAGGCCTATTTTAGACGCAACAAATAGAATGCATTCATAGAATGTATTTCATACTTTGATCTATGCAAAAAAAAAAATTTCATTCATTTTCTTGTTTTTTGAGAACAAGGTCTAAATAGGTCCTGGTTGGTAGTACAAGGGTTAATATTCATCTTAAGATTCGAATGACCTTGTGTTGTTGCTTGATTATAATTAGGCATGCAACAATCCCAAGCCAGGGCTCGCTGATCGGCGCCGAAAGGTTCGTAACCAAACATGTTCGCTACCGACCAGCGAGGCCTAGCTTGAGATTGTTGCATGTCTAGTCTGAACTAAAGACAAACGGGAGGAAATTTAAGTTTTTGAAGGAACTAACCTGTGAGAAAATAGGCTAACTAAAGTACAACGTGAGCGAATGTGTGTTCTACCGGATCGCTACCGAACATGTTCGATCAACGAATGGTTCGCTACCAAAGGTTTAAAACACTATTCTGTCAAAGCTCAGAACATAAGAGCGGAAAAATACATGAAAGAAATCTCCCTAAAACAGAAAAAATGGTGAAGATTACACCATACGAAGAAGCAGTCATGATTACGCCGTAGCCGCAGGTAGTCATGTAAAGAAAAATTTGAGTTAGGGCAGCAATTTTAAGTTTGTTTTGGTCCAGGAAGTTCAAAGTACCTTTAGGTTCCATTATATCTTATTTACTCTCTAACTAAAGCATACTTTTACTAATGTGACCTCTCACAGCAGATTGATTTACTTTGCTTTCATGCAAAAATGCGTTTCCTTACTGTGTAAATAAAGCAGACAGAAAGGTGCTATCCTAATTCGAATGTATCTTTATAAGGTTTATGGTATTTAGTCCTAATAGTTCCTTAACAGAGCGCTCGCCGATATCTCCGATGAGAAAAATATAAACTATCGTATTTGCAATCTTCGTCCGAACACGTTCGGTCGCATCAAGTTTCTAGGCCGAATATGTTCGGTTGCGAACCGTTTGGTGATCGAACTATCGGCATTGTTGCATGTCTAATTGTAATTAGAATATAATGTTTTTAATAAAAGATCATGTTGATCAAATATCAATTTAAATATTGGATACGAATATAGGTTATATGTTGTTGCACCATCTTTAGACTGAGTTGTCGTTGTTGTTGTGTTCAAATCATCAGAATAAGATTATCGAGTGATGTTGATAGTTTTCAACGAATTATATACATTCTTCATTTTTTAATATGATTAACTCATCTATATGGATTGAGTTGAGAAATGTCTTGATTATTGATTCTGATCTAGCTGGCAATATTAAGATATGATGGTCGTGGATTTGATTGGTTTAAGTAATAGCTGATAGACATACCGTAATGATCTGCTCATATGAGGTAAATATTGGATTTTTAATCTCAGTAATTTAGGATTAGTGATAATTCAATAGTTACTCAGTCAGAAGTAATGAGAATATGCGCAATCGATAAAGAAAGCAAAAATAGACAATTACGTGCTAAGTATGGGACAAACTGAGCGGGCGCTCGAGCGCTCAGTGTAAGAGCGAAGCAGACGAATCGTATTCGTAACTCTGGCGCGCCCGCATATCATTACTAATTAAAATAAATTCTCTACAGTTTAGCACAAAAAATGTTTAAACAGTTGTTTACTTGCCGTATAAATAGCTGTTCACTTATTATATAAGCAAAAAAATATATTGCAGTGCACGAGCGCTCGTGTAAAATGCACTCGAGCGACGAGCACGCTCATTAAAATACGCTCGAGCGCGCTCATGTTTTCTCCGCTCGAGCGCTCGATTCATCCCATACCTACTAAGTGACAAAAAGAGAAGGTAGAAGATAGAATAGTGTAAAACTATTAGACAATTTAATGGAGAAAGTATGTTCACAATATTTTCCCAATATGTTTTTAAATGAGCTCTACAAGACCCACATACTAAGATATTGCCGCATAAAGGTTGCATATAAATTAGCTAGACTAGTCGGAAAACACAGAAGTTTTAGATACGTTATTAGCATTAAAATTATTTTCTGTACAATACACTTCTATAGAGGATATTTAGATAAATATTACTTGATTCTAACCAGATTCTTATCAACAAAAACTGTCATCCTGTACGAGTTATTGGTTATTGATAAGAACTTTTATAAATGTCTGTACATGTCATGGACATCTGTATTAATTATTAAACTGATGCTACAGAAACACTCCACAACTGTACTTATTATCTTTCCTTTCAGGTAACTTCGGATCCATCTTTCGACTTCCTTTCACACGCCTTTTAAAACTCGGAGTTAAATGAGCTCTTGATTTTTAATCGTGTAAGAGGTCTGCATTAGATTGTCTGCGAGTCCATGACTAGCATACTCTAACTTGTGGTAACTCTAGAGAGGAAGAGATTGTGGATAATTGGCCATGCTGAGTTTTATGGCAACGTTAGTTGTTAACCCAGTGAAAACTTAGTATTAGGGAAAATATTAATTTTTTTGTTGTTGTCACTGAAAGCTAAAAACTTCATATCTCATCGAAAACTGTTCCATTGATTTCAAAACTTCAGCATAGACTCAGTTCCATATAATGAACATGACTTTTTAACTAAATGATCTAAAACACGGCCCAAATAGTATTGGACTTGGTGATGGTTTTCCAGAAAACTTCCTATGCAAAACTCACTGATTTTACTTATTAAGTTACAGAATCAAAAATATTTTGCAAACTCTTTTCTGTTAAGAAAAGATGTGGTCAAGCCACCTCTTTTGAATGGCGAAAACGCCAAATCCTTTAGCTATCATTGTGTAGAGTTATTCAGAAGTGGCCGAGTCGACTATTTCATAGCCAGACAGTTATTGTAGTTGTAAAAGAAATGATGTGCTTCTGATCTTATTCTGAGGACGAGAGCTTACATGAATGAAAACGATAATGTGAATGTGAATAACAAACACCTTTTAAATAGACAGTTTATTTTGCCTAGAGATTGCCATTCGAGAAAGATGGAACCGACAACGAAGAAAGAAAGTCTTCCTAGTGAAAGTTCTTGAAACCAAGAAAGTACAATGTTGGGACATTCTTGGCCAAGCTATGGTTCTTAGGCTTTCTTGTGAATTTCTGTCCCGTTAACCGAGCGCTCCAACCACTCGGATAACCTAGTTGACAACCTCCCGCTCCTACCTGCTGATGATACCCTAGTGCTCGATTCACTACTACGCTAGAGCCATCTGACTAGGTAAAAGCTACATTCAGCTAGACTCGTCAAGTAAATAACCATCCGGTTATGTAGTATATGCAGCTAGACCTTCTCCATCGAGCATTTTCGCATAACTGTCAGCAAATCATTCATTTTTCAGAAATAAGAAAACAAAATGGTAAACCAATTCTTGATGAAGGGGTAGAAATACTAACATGATTGTTTAATTAATAGAAAAGAGGGACATCCGTATTCATGAGTAAACTTATTTTACAATACGCATGCTGATGACAACCAAGACGTGTTCAAATCAAGTCCGCATTAATCAGTCAACCCAGAAGAAGTTTCCCAGTATGCACTGAGAAAGATCGTACCGAACACCTTCTATACTAAGAGAACGTGTCGGAGTTTCGCAGAAATTTAATTTTCAATCCATATCATCAATTGCGCGTACTGTCTGTTAAAACACAGGTCTTTCTATGTGTATATAAAATGTATTTTAAGTTTTATCTTGTAATAAGTTTCAGAGTCTGACCAGCCAGAGTCACGCTGACGAGCGTGACTGTTTTTTTCGGCATGTAGATGGAGCCAGCCTCTCAATTAATAATATTTTCACAGTTAATCTTAGACGGAATTCATTATCTTTTCTACGAAGTTCGTTCTTACGTTCAACGTTTTTTACAGTCATTAACATGCAGGGGGAAGGTTTGAAGTTTCTGTCTTATCAATGAACAGTCCTCCGAAATACAATTCAACTTTCTAACCTCAAGCATCTTCTGAAAAGAGTACCACAAAAAAAGGTCGTCGGCTGTGTCTAGTTAATGGAAAAGGATAAGAGAAATAACAGAATGGGGAAAAACCCAATAATCTTTTCTATAGTATATCATGACAAGAAATGAGATAAAAAAGCATAAGCTCTTATCTTTATTCCAACTTTGTTTATTATTAATTGATGATATATAAATAATGTCAAAAGACCTAAACGAATTATGTCATCGGAGAAATTTGTCTCCCTTCAATATTATATATTTTAATAACAAAAATATTTCTTGCCTGTTCTTCATTTCTGTGCACACGAATAATTACCAACATAAGTACAGCAATTGTTTTTTCTTCAGCTCATTCATAAATATTGTTTAGAAAATGCAGATGATTGAGAACGTCGCCCTTAAAAAAAAACAATAAGATGTTGCTTTTCTACATATTATATTGCGTTTTATCATTAATTTTGAACTATTATTGTTCAAATGGTTATACACAAGATTATTTTACCATACAATTAAGTCCATCAACATTAACATCCATTCCCTATCTGGACGGTGAAGTAACTGTATATGAACACTTATATAATAAATCACGTCTTTTTCTGCCACCATTGGCTTTATTGGATATAAATCAAACACACGTTGAATATAATCGTTTACAAAAAATATATTTGCTCTCACTCACCCTTATACTCTATACAAATGAATTACGTACAAGTGTATTAGACTATTTAGGAACAACAATGAATCGTTGTCAACGTTCTTTGACACAACACGAAATGTGTCAAGTTAAAATGATTCCCATAGAACGTTATCGTCTAGTATGGAAACGCTCTATACCATTAGCAACAGATTACGTATTAGATTCAAGCTGGATGTCAAATACAGCTTTATTTAATAAAATTCATTTTTATATACAATGTGCAACAAATCAAACATGTTATGATTTATACCACGATATTTATCGTAATCCGCGTATTTTAAATGGATTTGAATTAGAATACAGTACACAAACAGAAAAACAATCACGTAAACAAATAACTATCACAGGTCAACATTTAGTGCAAACATCTTTATATTCAAAATTAAAACAAATGTCACAAGTGACAGATGATATCCGATATTTACTTGTGGATGATATGCAACATTTATTAACAGAAACGTTGACATCGATGGAATTAACTGAAATAACAGATGCTGAATATGTTTCACAACATGATCAAAAAGCTCTATTTCAAGCCTTACAACATCGTTTATTTTCTTCAAATCATCAATTATTAGGTGAACATATAAAACAACAATGGAATTCTGTTTATTGGACTGCTGATGTCATTCGTCCAGATCGTATTGTTCATTTATTAAATAACGAACTATCAGAATTACGTAATAGGACATTGAGTAAGGAACCATTTGATGTACATGCACAACAACATAAAACGAATTTAACTCATAATACAAATATAAATAATCAAATGTTTGATAATTCAGGTATAAATGCAACAGAAAAACCAAATCGAAACGTATTCTATTCACATAAAAATCATGCAGCTAATCAACAACTTATTGATCACAAATTTGACGACAAATCAAAAAGTGATTCTGACATTATATATAAGCATACGGATCGAAGCACAGCACAAGATGATTCTGCCGAGGTAAGTGTTTCCAGTATTGCCAAATTTATTGGCGGTGTAGACATTAAATCATCTGGCTATGATCATCGTTCGTCTAAAAATCCCTATGGGCAAGCAAAGCCACGAGTTATTTCAAATAGTGTTTCATCGCAAAACGTTTCAGGAAATTATACTGATCGGCCAAATCAACAAAACCATGGATGGAAAAATAATCATGGTAAAGATGATAGTCATTTAAATTATGATCGTCAAGCGTGGTATAAAGCATCTATTGATGATAAATCTGATTTTTCTCTTACAAGTATGTCATCAATGAATGACAACGATATTGATGAAATTCGAAAAAAAAATGTTGATTTTTATAAAAGAAATCGTCAGTATCTACAATTTAATGGCGAAAAATTTGACATTAAACCATTACAAGTCTATAAATTCAATCTGGGTCAGTTTGATGAGAAAACAAAGTTTGTTCATAGAAGTATTGTTATTGCACGTGTTGAATCTATTCATACTATACCTCTGCACACCTCTGGCACCGGATTATCCACAACTGTTCCCGTGGTAGATACTTATTTAAATTCATTTGAAAATAAATTAAATCAAGTTCAGAATGAAATATTAAGATCGCATAATCAAATTCGTACTTTCAATGATATAATATCAAATTTACAAACACAAATGAATACAAGCATGGCAAAAAATGATGAACGAATTAGAATACTGAAGCGTGAAATATTAGATTTACAAACACAAATGAACAGAAGCATAACAAGTGAAAATGATCAGACTAATACGTTGAATGCTGAACTACGTAAAGTCAAAAATGATTTAACTACTGAAAGAAAGGTACTCAAAAATCAATCCACCAGTTTAGAAAGTGAGTAGTAATATATTGAGGATACATCAAGTTATATCACATTTTTATATTACCTTTCATTACCGATCACCTTCTTAAAATCGATATTCTACTAACTGTAAAGCGTCCAGATCAGTGATTTGAAAACCATTCTTTGACTTTTCAGTTGCATCCGTATCCCAGGTGCAACCGGTACCGGTACCGGTATGATTTATTTGACCGACCGGTATACCGGCGTTAGTATGAAGTATAATCAATCGGTCGACATTACATAAAAAACAAACGTTTATTTATATAAAATATTGATTCAGTAGTGAAGAAAAACAATGAAAAAGTATTTGTATTTAGGCAAAACACGATCAAGGCAAGCCAGTACCGACCGGCACTGGTGCTGGTCGGTACCGATACGAAGTTTGTATACCGGTGACCGGTACCGGTATCGCATTTTTGATACCGGTTACATCCCTGACTCGTATCTATAAAAGAAATTTTCCCTTCTCTTGTTTCTTCCCTTTATAATCAAAAAACGCAAATGTTTCGCTACTGTTGTTTTCGATACACTGGGATTTGACAGTGTTCGCCAATAATTGACAATATTGATTTATTAGGAGGGGTCTATTATCTCTACTTGAAAAGAGGCCCACTACCTTATCAAAAAGAAAATGAAATTAACGTCGTTAGCTTAAAGTTACTACAATTTTGAATTTGCTCCTACAATTGTGTGTAAGTCCGAAAACTCGTCAACCTAGACGGCAGTAAACACAAAAGATAGTCAATAAGTGAGTGAAACATAAGAACGGACGCTCAAGCCAAAATTTAGGCAAAAGGTGCCATTTTTTTGATTATTGGTACCTATTTCGACAATGCTCCCGTGTTTTCCGCTCATTTACTTTAAATAATACTTGATGCTCTCCGTCCGCCGTATTAAGCGCCATATTTTACATATTTTATTGCATTCGCCATTTCCATTCATCAGATTTTCTATTCAGTAAATATTTTTCCTATCATTTCTGGTCTGCAGCGGTTATAGTTTTGTTCATTTTGCGAATACACATAGATACATATAAGTGGATGCCAGGTTCTCTGTTCTTTAAGTGTAACTGAGTTTTAGCGAAAAGGAAAAGATAAATTTCATGTACATAAATACAAGTAAGGCTTGCATATGCTAACCGGCCCTTGACTGTAGTTTATTCGTTTCAAAGCTACTAAATGGCTAGATATGAAGCTAGAGAAAGGAAAGCCGCATAAGGTTAATAATCGGTCAATTTCTCAATTTCCCAGCAATAATGCTTTCGTATGTAGGAAACAAGTACTTGTATTCGATTCCGGATAAATCGGAGACATTTATTCATTAATATTCCGTTAATTCCTCGACAATAGCATCCCAATTGGGATCGAATTTTAAATTTTATCCGAAGTGGAATAGAAGTACTTGTTTACTGCATGCGGAACCATTCTCACTGGGAAAAGAGGGTTGGTCGATTGTCAACCCTATGCGACCCCGTCCTTACGCAGCGAATCAAAACAAACTGAACGTAAGGTAGATGGATGCCTAACAGAAGATGCTGTGACATAGTTATTACTAAGCAATGTTAGAAAATGCATCAGGTCTTTTTCAGCATCTTTTGGCGTGTTGACCGAGTCAACAAACCAACTTACTACTACAAATATACAAAAAATAATAGCAACAGAAGGCTCAATATCGTCTAGTTTAACTCACTCATCAAGTTTCGCAACTATACTTGGGCAGGCACAATCAGAAGAAACTCAGTTGGCAGATCACACAATGACCACTGGAAAATCTCGTAAAATTGGGATTCCAAATAAACGCCAAAGTACAGAAACGACGGGAACTATTCAAGTTAGCAGTACAACCTCAACCATCAATAGTATGTAAACATTACAATTTCATTCTTTTTCTGTTCTTGTTCGATGACTCAGATCAAAATATCATACCGATAATTGTGTAGGACATGGAAATCAGTAGTGATTTTTAATTAATTAACTTTTCCTTCAAAATAATATTTTACTGGAATTTTCTTATCTTTCTTGTGACCTGAACAAAAAGTCTCGCAAAATTTTCTGCTATTCTGCTCTGTGGAATAGCAGAAAAGGAGGGTTTGATAAATTCGTAGATTTTTTAGATAAAATGATGGTTAGAAGAAAAAGTCTTTTTCTGTATATTCAGGTAGCGCAAGCAACAAGGTGTTCATCACTTCAAGCGAAAGTTCAAGTGGCATCTTCATCGAAGAGACATTCACCACCAAATCAACTGGAACAATAGAGTCTCCAAGCACCGAATCCGCGGAAAACAATCCTGAACTTAATCCTACTACTGAGTCCACTGGAACAAATACTACTGTAGCGATGGACACAAGTACAGAGCAGGGCACTATGACTGGTACAATGACAAATGCTGGTAGGCGTATATCAGACCTTAACTGACGGTCATTGCAGAGAACGTTGTTTTTTCCCATATATGTAGTATTAGAAGTTCTATTTACTCTAAAAGTTTCGATGAAAATATTGAATATTAGCGAAGGTATGGAAGGAACAGTTGTCTAAACTTTCACTGAGCAAGGTGTGTAAAAGTCACGCTTTAAAAACATGGGTTTCGGCCTCTGATGAGAATAATCAGAAGGAAAAATGATTATACCTATGATTGATATCAGAGTCAATCTACGTGGATTTTCAAACTGAAAAATGGTGAACCAGTAAAATAGCATTCGCTGTCGAGTAAAACTACGTCGAGATAAAAATGAGTATTATAACATTAAGAGAAAGGAAAAGCACCCAGAGCTAATGAGAAAATCTCTCTCACACTTTTTACAGTGCACATAAATCATGTTGACAATCTTCCTTTTCTCTTGACAGCAGCCGATATTAGTTTTATATGATCCCATGCTTTCAGTCATGAAGACAAGGCTGTGGACAGTGGTTTGATGATTGAGTGAACTATTATAGTTTTCTCCGTTTTTCAGCAATTTCAACATCGACATCGACCACTGCAAGTAGGCTTCTCTTGTGTAGAAAATGCATCGCTCACAACGCTACCGAGTAGGTTTAATTTAAGAAACTAAGGTTAATAAAGAGGCGTACAGAAAACTAGGCTTCATTTCGAGTTTACAAGCTCTACAAGGACATGATTTTGATTCTTTAATTCATCTCTACATGCTCTCACTTTTTGTAGCATCAATATCCACTACAACATCGACGTCAACCACTACCTCGAGTAAGTAGGTTTTTCGAGGTTCTAGGCCAATGACATAGCAGATGACACAGTAATGGCAAATGTGCCACATCTAATTTGTCAATTCGCCATCTGTCGTCTGAAAACGCTGACTTAGCAACTAGATTGCAACAATAATTCCTGATAGACCGAAATGGCAGCAAAGATCTCTTTCGAAAACTTGGTTTTCTAGACAACTGTAGGTTGACGACAATGTAAGTAGAATCTATACATACAACTTGTTTTCTTTTTTCTTTCTTATCTTTTGACGTACTAGTCTGAAATGTTTAAAACAGCTGCATTAATAATCTACCATCTGTTTAGAGAAACGATTGCAAGTTTTGGACGCCAGAACAAAATATTTTACCATTGATCACTTACACTTTCTTATAATATCACGATTATCGGACCCTTGGGAAACTGGACTCAAGGACAAAATCTACTTACATTAGTCGAGAAATTTTCGAAAATTGCTGTGTAAGCAAAGATAAGCCATGAAGCTGATGTCTCAGTTGCTCTCACGGTTCGATGTCCTCAAGATGAACTATTTTCTACGCTAATAAGGGAAAGGTAGAAAGATCTCATTTCTGTATCAGTTAGATTTGTAGTATTCGCTGTCATACGCCACCTCCAACCAGGGCACTAAACCCATCGAGTACTGAACCTTCCTATGTTTTAAACTTTTAAAGTGTTTTCTTTAAGCAACAGTCATGCAAAACACGAATCGACTTCGGCGCTTGTCTAATACCCACATTTTATTTCAGAGTGTTACAGTTCAATGACATATGCAAATGCATTAACTGCTACAGGCCGCATATTCGCGCGTCCTCAAGGCCTGGCAAACAGTTCTTACTTTTACGCTCCGGTTCAAATTATCATCACTACACCAGGCACCTACAGTTTCAAGTCAAACAGTACCATAGACACATATGGCTATCTATATAGAGGATCGACTTTTGAACCAACAAATCCGAATGTGAATCTTCTTATGTCGAATGATGACGGTGGTGGTGGTGGTGGTGGCCAGTTCTCTATTTCTGCATCACTCTTACCTGCCATCTACGTATTGGTAATCACGTCTTACTCTCCTGTGAGAACTGGGACATTTACAATCACCAGCACAGGTCCAGCAGCAGTCACGTTTTGCCCCTATCAGGGTAAGTGCAGATTTTAACTGAAGATTTTGAGTGATGCTTCCCTTAACCGCTATGAAAGTATATGTTTTACTCATTTCGGTATTATCCATAGCAAAATAAGTCACTCTGCCTTCAGGATAGTTTACAAAGAAACAGCATACATCAGTCGATGGGGAATTTAAGGAGGATTCCAGAAATAACTCTTAGTTTTTGAGAAAGAAACGAACTACTTTTGTGTGGAAACTAGCCCTTTTATTGTATTCTCTCATTTTTTCTCCGTTTTGAATATATTCTTTTTTTCATGTGTTATCAGAATGCATAGGCAGAACGAAAAAGAATATTCTTGTATAATTTGTATTAAATATTGATTTGTACAGACAGTTACATTTTAGTGTCAATGTTCCTTTTCTCTTCAACTTACAAAATCTCTCACTGTGACTTTAAGGAATTAGCCGACAACTTAATTCACGGCATTTTGTCAAATGTCACTGAATCAAATACGTTTAATTAGAAGGAACCTTTTTGCGATTGATAGCAAGAGCTTCGACTTGGGCTTTAAGTAGACAGACGGTTTTTTCGAAAAGGATAGAGTCTAACTATTAAGTTAGTTGTTTCGCAATATGATTGTCTGAATGAACAAAACGCAACGTTCTGCACATAAGCCAAAAATGTTGATGATCAATTTTAAAACAACATGGTTTGACTATTATGACTTTTGGCTTCCTCTTCGGGTCACAGTGGTCAAATCTTCCATAGAGAGTCAAATAGATCCGTTGTTTACTGCCGGATGTGAAGAGGATAATTGTTAAAAGTTTGTTTGTGGTGTGGGTCTTTGTATAGCTCGAAGTGAAAAAGACTGTCTTTGTCAATTATCAGTTGATACCTGCTTTTGCTAGAAGATAGCCAGTCACGGGAAAACGAAAAAGTATTCATGTTTTACTTGCAATGCTTTTTAGAAAATATACTTTTCCTGTCTTTTTAATAATTCTGTTTCTTAAATTAATATAGAGTCGTTTACTGCTTTCCTTTCTTTTGATCTTGTTATGTTTGAGTCTAATATATATATTTCTTATACACACAGTATATCATTGTATGTTAAACGTTATTTCTGTTTTAAAAAAAATAAGAAGAAAAAATCTTCTGTTTTTCAAGAAATGTTCGTTAAGTGAAAAAAGCGTAAAATTAATCGATTGGGAGTTCGAACCGCTTCGAACAGAAGTGAAAGACCGACAGTTATAGTGTAAAACTTTTACTACCCAACGTAAAAGACCCCTTCCATCTCCAGTACCATGATGTAAGCCTTGTTTTCTTGTCCGTTGGTCAGTGAACAAATGTTATATTGTGATTTCTTCTGAATTCACCTTTTAATATCCAAAGATGCATATAACTGATACACTCACACTTTATTATAAAAAATCA